ACAGGTATTCTAATGGAAATATCATTGCACCTTTTCTGTAGTTGGTGTCAAATACAAAGTTTAAAATGGTATTATTGAGGCAAAATATGAACATACTTCTGCCTTCAGGGGAAAGAAGGGTCAGGCCACCCAGGGAGAGTACGCGATATCACTGGGTTGTCGGATTATCTGTGGATGGGAGACGATGTACGAAGTCAATGTGCAGCTGGACAAAGGGTCCCCAAACACTAGGCTGTGTCCGAAAAGGCACCTGAACTGGATCCGCAGCATTAGAAAATATACAAGTAGGGTAATGCACCCAATGAGAAACTACTACAGAAAATTCCAGAACAAACTAAGTATTTCTCCTTTTCCCTTCTTTTCCCCATGTACAACACCGAAAAGAAATTCAGACACTTGAGACCACTGATGTATGGCAACAGTTGGCAAACAGGTGACAGAAACACTTTCTGATGGCCAGGGGCCTTTCCCATGTCACGTGTGTCTGTCTGCAGCTCACAGCCGTGAACTCTGAGCGGCTCTAGGTGTAGGAGGGGGGCGGGCAGGTGGTCTGCGGGACTAGTAGGGAGTGGTTGCATCACTCACCCGTTCCCCTGAGGAACCTCAGGGCCTAAATCTCATAGGCTCCACAATGCAGAAAAGCGAGGGAAGGAGAGATGGAATAAAAGGTCTTCGAGGCGTTTGTAAGACAAGGTGCACTGGTGATTTGGGGACCAGCAGAGATATTTACAGCTTTGGTGAAGACCAGACATTTATTTCAATTGTTGATACTTTTAAAAATATATATTTCTATAATTATTTGACTGTTCCAGCTCCTAGCTACAGCATGTGGGACCTTTAGTTGCAACAAGTGGGATCTAGTTCCCTGACCAGGGATCGAACCTAGGCCCCCTGCATTGGGAGCGTGGAGTCTTAGCCACTGGACCATCAGGGAAGTCCCTGTTGATACTTTTTAAATATATGATGTAAAATATAATTGATAAATGTATCTCAATAAGCTAAATGAGACCTTTCTTACTTTATATATGCAAGGATAATGCAACTTATTGCTAAAATGGAGCAATTCCATTCATGTGTCTCATTTTAACAGATACGAATTCTAAAAATATTTGTCACGTGAGTTTGCAGATGTGACAGGAATGAGTTTATGGTAATGACATCATACTTGATTCTTTGAATTCCTCTGGGGAATTGACTAAAAATGACATAATGAATCATCACTCAGGATTATTCTTTTTTTTTTTTTACTCAGGATTATTCTTAATGATTTATCAACCATGACTAAATTAGGTCCTCCTTTGATTTTATTCAAAGCAAGTAATCAGAAATCACTTTCTATGAACAAAATTTTAATTTAAATATTAATATTACTCTAAAATAATATTAGTATTGCTCTAAATTATACCATATTTTATATACTATATTAATTTATTATTTTTTTGGAGTCTAGAGATTGTTGCAGGGTCAGTTCTATGTAAGATCTGATAGATGAACTGTACAGATTCTAACCATACAATTCACTAGTATAAATGTGTCTGTGAGTGTCCTGATCCAGAAGTGAAGTCCTAATGTTCCCATCACCTGTGTAGGTATTAATCTGCCTACAGACTTAATCTTTAGAAGATCCCTGGGATTTCAACCTCAGCCAAAAGGACAGGGACATGAGCCAAAATTGACAAGAACATCCTGCTGGCTACATGAGCCTAAAGTCTCTGTGTGTTTTGGAATAAATAATATCTATCCCCACACACCACCTTCCTATACCTTTAGTTCTAAGAGTTAGTATTAAGGATATTTAAACCATAATAACTGTCACTTGGACATGACCATAAAACAATAAATCAAGTGATCTCACCTTAACTGAGAAAAATCTCAGTGGAACCAGAGCCAAATTCAGAAGCACACTTTGTTAGCATTTCGGATAAATAAATATTCCTCACTGGCAGAGTCAAGTAGGCTCACCTTGATATTGGACTTAGGGAATGTGGTGATTTATTTTGTTTGACTTAATATTTATAGTTTTTCCTTTTGTTATATAAGTTTGATGCCTGATATTTACTGCCAGACACTGTGCTATCCATTTTCCCTGGATTAATGCATGTATCCTAAGACAAATCTTATGAGGTAGGCAGTATTATGTCACACCTATTTTACAGATGGGAAAATTGAGGCTATGAGGGTGAGTACCTTGCTGGTGTCCCTACAAGTAGAAAGTGCCAGAGCTGGGCATGAAAGTTGAGCTCCTCCCGCTATTCAGTAAATGAATATATTCTAATTTCAAAAGATCCAAACAGCACTTCAGAATTCAAAACAGTGTAAAACTGTTAGTTTTAGACAAGTTAGGATTCTGCAGTGGGCTAGATTGAATTTGTAGAATTATTTGAGAATAGTTGACTTCTTCAAATGTTCTAATATTTCCTTCAGACATAAAATGTGATCCTCTAAAGTTCTTGGTTTTTTTTTTTAACATACTTTTTTATATCTGTTAGTAAAGTTTCATGATCTTATCCTGAAAGTTTTGCAAATTTTCATTTACGTATATTTCGATACATTTTCTGAGAGATCACCGTCACCAGACTCCCCTACTGAAAGTAGCACTCTATTACTTTACCATCCACACACCAACAATGCCTGAACTAGACCTCTTGGCTTCCAAACTGAGTCTAAGCAAGTTTCTTACTGTCTCCAAGTTATGTGATTCATCTGTAAGAATGGGAAATGTAATAGCTTACAGATTTGCAACAATGATCGAACATGATAAATTATATTTGCACTTTGTCTAACCAAAACACATTGCCGCTCTTTTTATGACCACTAATACTTTTAGCCACAGAAGGTTTTGCCACCCAAAGAAACTCTATGGAAGACAGCAATGGTATGCTTCTGGTTATAATCAGCTCATTGTGATTTTTATGATTCAAATTTTTTGTTTTTAAAAATAGTTTATTTATTCTTGGCTGTGCTAGGTCTTTATTGTTGCATGGGCTTTTTTTCTAGTTGCAGCAAGTGAGAACTACTCTCTAGGTGCAGTTGGTGGGATTCTCACTGCAGTGGCTTCTCTTGTTGCAGAGAATGGATCTAGAGAGCACTGGCTTCCATAGCTATAACACATGGGCTTGGTAGTTGTGGCTCCTGGGCTCCAGAGCACAGACTCAATAGTTATGCCCCAGGGCTTAGTTGCTCCGAGGCATGTGGGATCTTCCCAAATCAGGGACTGAACCCATGTCTCCTGCATTGGCAGGTGGATTCTTTACTACTGAGCCACCAGAGAAGCCCTGAGGACTCAATTTTTATTGGACATTATATTCTTCCTCGCCCAGCCCCGGCAACCACCATTCTGCTCTCTGTTTTTCATAAATTTAACTATTATAGATACCTTATATAAATGGAGTCATATAGTACTTGCCTTTTGTGGCTGCCTTATTCCACTTAGTGTGCTATCTGTCCTCAAGTTTCATCCCTAGGTAGCATGAGACACAGTTTCCCTACTTCATAAGGCTGAATACGAGTAATATTCCATTCTATGGATCTACTATATTGTTATGGTTCATTCAACAGTTTATAGATGATTAATTCAACATTCAGCTGTTGGGTTGAATCTACTTCTTGGCAATAGCAAATAATGCTGCTGTAAACACGGGGAAGCAAGTATGTGCTCCCTGCTTTCAATTCATTTGCATATATACTCAGAGGTGAATTGATTGATCATAATTCTTTTTAATTTTTGAGGGACCTCCACATTATTTTCTTTAGTGATTGCACCATTTTACATTCCCACCAAAAATGCAACTGTGTTCCTATTTCTCCACATCTTTTCTGATACTATGTTTTATTTTCCTTCCTTCCTCCCTCCCTTTCTTCCTGCCTTCCTTCTTTGCCTCCCTTCTTTTTTTTTTTTTTATAGTATCCATCATCATGGGTAGGAAAAACCCATGAGACTTTAACCTGAGATCTGAAACCCAGCATGAAAACAGTGGGGCAAAAAAAAAAACTACATGTATTACATCTCACCCATCCATTTTGCCACCGTTGTCGCAGAAGGCAATGGAAACACTCCTGACTTGGTTAGTCCTGTCTCTCCAGTCAAAAACCTTCCCTATTCCACCATGTGTAAGTTTCGGGGTAACCTGGGTAACTGATGTTCCCCCAGTAAGTCACGCAGTTTATGCTATCTTGTCCTCTCATGCTGTGCCCTGCAATCCCCCCTGCAAGCATTCCTTCATGTCAAAACTCTATATATTCTTTTTAAAATATATATATTTTGGCTGTCCTGGGTCTTCACTGCAGCATATGGGCTTCTCTCTAGTCCCCAAATTCTATATATTCTTGAGTGGCACTCAAATATGTCCCCTTACACAAGCAGCCTGACTTCCCAATGCCTTTACTGAGAACTGTCTAAGTCTCTCCCTGTTTCCACAAGGTCTCTGCTCATGACTAGGGAGAGGATAAGTCTTTGTGGGCTTCTCCACTGCTGGGACCCTGTGACTCAGAAGGTGCGACTCTCCTATTTGACAAGGAAAAGTCAAGCTAACCTTTCTCCCTCAGCTGTCCAGAGAAAAACCCGGCACAGCAGGCATAATCTGACACTAAAGATGTAGCCCAACTGAGCTCAAGGCATGTTCATCCATATTCATTCATTTGTTCAAGGAAGATGTGCTTATCCACTTCTCCATGCCAAGCACTGATACCCAGGGAGGCCTTGCATCCATTAACTGACTACACATTTGTGAAACTACAAGCTTGGTTTTTTACTACAAAGGAGAGGTGTATGGTACCTGTGAATGGGACTTTGGCCAAGCCATTGTGACACCGTGGATGGCATTAAGCCCGAGTGAAGAAGGAAGGGCTGGAAGCCAGACTCTGCCACCTGCCGTATGTCCATGTGGGCAGGGCCAACAGAGCTCTCCAGGTACAAATAGGCCTGGGCTCCCCAGGCTCTTGAGTCCAGCTTCTGACTGCTTGTCATTCACCAAGGCTGAAAACTCAAAGCAAAATAAACCATGAGGCTGTCCGTGACTGCCCTGCTGGTTACTCTGGCCCTTTGCTACTACGAGGGTGAGTATCCTTTCTAATCTGCCCAGCACCAGCCTTGGTGAGAACTTTTCCCTTGGTATTTTCACGGGGTGAACTTATCTAGGGAGTGGGGGAGCAACACATCCAGAATGCATACCTCTTCCTCTACTTGACAGTGAGTCCCCCGCAAGCCCAGGTCCCATTTGACCAATTTCCAATATATTCTAGAACTCTTACCAAAAATTCATTGCAGGCAAATTTTAAAAGCTTTCTACCCAAAGTCTCATTCCTAGTCTGTGATCTGTGTTTCAGAAACAGCATGACAAGATTTGGATGTGAATCACAGCGCCTTGACCTTGAACAAAATGCTTAGTCTATCCAGATAATCCTCTTATCATTCCTTTTTTCAGGGTCCACCAGGAGTAGTTTATGACAATAAAGTGGAATTAAGTGCATCAAGAGTCTAAATATTTAGTAGTTACCACTGTTCTTGTTCCTAGAATTTCTTAGGTGACAGCTGAGTTGACAGCCTTTTTAACTAATAGACTCAGACTCAGAAAAATGTTACAGCTGGAAGGGTTTTGGGGAGAGATTTTTACTTCAAGAAGAGTCAGTGTTCTCTGAATCTCTGGATATAAGATCTTCAAATGGGGTCTGCGAATAAGCAGCACTCAGTATATCTACAAATGCCACTCATTCCCTAGGAGTCTTTCCACTAATGGTGGTAGAACTAGTGTGATCATTAGCATCACAGACTTCATTTTTCTACAATTAATTCCAGCCATTTGTTCATCCATACTTTTGCTCTGCTTCATGCCCTCAATACTGATTCAAGTTCCTTTGAATGTTTCTCTTTTATCAAACTTTCTAAATATCCTTCTCTTTCCCTGTGCTGCCCTTTCAAATTCCCTGCAAATTTGATGTCTGACCAGGGGGCAGATCAGAGCCTTGACAAAATACATCCCAGGCTGCCAAGTGGTTGTCAAGACTTGGTGGGGATGGACAATCCAGACCAGGAAAAGGTGGTTACTTCCAACCTCAGCACCCTTCTGATGGGGTCAGGAATAAGCACCCATTCCCGCCTCTCATCTTCTCTAGGAATTCTGTACACCACTACAGAATACAAGAGTCAATCATCACTTTGTGTATAAGCTTCCAATGTGTTCAAACTGATTAGATATTTATTTTTTTAGCCATATCTGCATCCAATGATTGAAACCTATGCTTTAATTTAGTCTCAAAATAGCATATAGTTTACATACTCTTCTCCAGGTTTATTCTTCCTCCCTTCTGTGATCTCTGGTAAGATCTGATTTTACCATTCACTTGAAAACTCATTTCCTAAAATCTCCTCTTCCCCAGTAGCCAAGAAAAAATATGGTGTCACTCAACTGATAGGCAAAACTTGATTTTTTTTTTTTTAATCTAAGGAAAGTGAATTTCAGCAAAGCGAGGGAGCTCTGGAAAGTAGTAGGTGTACTTTAAAAGGGAAAAAACTGAACACAGGGAAACTGATTTCTAGTTCTGGCTCAGCCACTTACTCTGGGGTCTTGAGGAAGTCACAGCCCTAGGGTCCTGCACTGTCATTGGCACAACTACCAGATGAGATTGTAAAACCCTTGGGGTTCCTGTCTAGTTCTAATTCAGGGAACCATGGGGGAAAGTGACTTTCCCTACATCAACTGTTATCTCTTTTCCTTCTGCTCCAGCCAATGCAGTTGTCTGTCCAACACTTGCTGTGGATCTGATCGATTTCTTATACGCTCCTGACTTAGTGTACAAGCTGTCACTTTTGAAGTACAAAGCATCTCCAGAAGCCGTGGCTGCCAAGATAGAAGTGAAGCAATGCGTGAATAAATTCTCACCCGAAAACAAATTACTCATTTCAGAGATACTGGTAATGTCTTTCTTCTTGCTGCACAGAGGTTTCTGCTTAGCTGCACATGCCAGGGGCGGGGTCAGCGGGCTGCTCCGAAGGGGGCAGCTGTCACTGCTCACTTCTAACCCTTGCCCACAGGCTGGATGTTGACATCCCACCTGCCAAGCTCCCCTAGGGAAGGTTGCATGGGGCCCTGGGCATGTTCCTCCTTCTGGGGTCACTTCCCTGGGTGCCAGGTGGTCCACACTGTCCTGAAGAGGAGGACGTGTGCTGTCACAGCCACATCATAAGGCTGAGAGCAGCAGGAGATTGTCCTCCTGTGATCTCACTCCCTCCCCGATCCTGTAACCCTGTGTCCCTTTGGACTGAACATGTGGGGTTCCTGGGAGATCAGAGAAAATAATGCCTGGACTGCCCCTCCAAACTTCATCCTTCTCTTTCCTTTGGAAACCCAAGTCCTGCCCCTGATGACCACCTCATGGTTTATCTGCTTGTCTATGGAAAGGATTTTTTCCTGACTTGCATGGTTTGTTGTGATTGTACCAGATCTATGTCATTGACCATACACTCTGGCTTCCTGCCTTGGGCCCTCCCATTTGCCTTTGACTGGTTGAAATTTCATCGACCATGTAGTTGTGAATGAGTCTGTGTTAATGTTTCATCTCCAGCAGCAAGAATGATCTCTCCTTTCTTTCTTTCTTTTTCTGTTTCAGAAAAAAATACTGGTGGTTTGTAATACCAGCGTGAAGCTTTCCTAGATCCTTCTTCCGTGTGATCACCTGATCTTCTATGGAAAGTGTAGAGGTTTCAACATCTTGCTCAATAAATGATTTGCCCTGCACTTCTCTACTTGTCCTGTTATTATTCAACTGTTTCTGGCTTTGAGTAGGGGTGGTTTTCATCATGAAGTGACCATTGGGTGTCATCACTAGTAAATTTTAGAGGCCCAATATCCAGTTAGGTACAGAAACCTGAGGTGCAGAGCTCTCAAGAAGAAATATTTGGTTATGTATCAGCCTGCTTGTCTCTACAGGTTTTCCACTCATGGTGCCATGGTGAAGGGATGTTGCTGTTTAGTCTCTCAGTCATGTCTGACTCTTTTGCGACCTCATGGACTGTAGCCCGCCAGGCTTCTCTGCCCATGGGATTTTGCAGGCAAGAATACTGGAATGCATTACCATTTCCTTCTCCAGAGGATCTTCCCAACCCAGGGATCAAACCTGCGTCTCCTTCATTGGCAGGCAGATTCTTTACCACTGAACCACCAGAGAAAAGCAGTTAAACATTCCTGTTACTGGTCTAGATTTGAGGGATACCCACATCATATCTGGGGCTTCCCCAGTGGCGCATGGGTAAAGAATCCACCTGCAATGCAGGAGATGCGGGTTTGACCCCTGGGTCAGGAAGCTCCCCTGGAGAAGGGCACGGCAACCCACTCCAGTATTCTTGCCTGGTGATCCAATGGACAGAGGAGCCTGGAGGGCTACAGTCTATGGGGTCGCAAAGAGTCAGACACGACTGAAGCAGCTGAGCACGCACGCAGTATGCACAACATATCTGGCCAGTCATGTGACCTCCAACCAGCAGCATCATTCATACTTTGTCCTCATATTAACCATAACCAAACTGCTTGGTCCTTTACCTTCACTGTGGTTTCAAACCTATAAATTTTCCAGTGCAATTTGTTCTCCATTTTCTTCTCAATTTTCAGTGAATACTCAGGGCTCAACCATCGTTTAACTCCTTCTCACTCTGCACAATCACATTGATCATCAGCATCTCTACCCTCACCAACATCTTGGGTTAATGCTTCCTCTCTCCAATTCTCCCAAGAGCTCTAGAAGCAAGCATCCAGCTGCCACCTGGACAACACCCTTCAAGCACTCCACTGTTATAGTTGAAGGAAAGTATAAAATTGAAAACACCAACTGCCTGTAAACTATTCCTCTTCTAGATGCCCTTACCCGCTCCCGGCTACTGGACCCACCATCTAGTGAAAAGTGGCAGATCCCATCGGCTTCTGGACCAGTTTCCAGTGGCTGCTATAACACACAGTCCTACACATGGTGACTTCAGTCAGATTATTTTCTCAAAGTTCAGAGGGCAGAACCCCAAAATTTGTTACACTCTGCTGAAATTGTGTCAGGAGGGCCGTGCTCCCTCTGGAAGATCTAGGTAGAAATCTGTTATGGCTGCTTCCAGCTTTGATGACTGATGGCATTCTTTGTTTTGCACCCACATCACTCCGATCTCTGCCCTGTGGGATCACATTGTCAAATCTCCCTCTACCTCCTTCATATAAAACATGTGGGATTGCACTTAGAGGACCCCTGAGAATTCAGGTTAAATGTCCCCATCTCAAAATCTGTAACTTTATCACATCTGTGAAGTCTTTTTTTTTTTTTTAACCATGGAAGGATAATATTACAAATTTTAGGGGTTAAGATGTGGATATCCTTGAAGAGCTTTGTCAGCTTACTACAGCTTATCTCGCCTCTGACATCTACAGAGCCACTAAGTTCTGCCCCCTCCACTGTAAGGGCTTCTGAGCAGGCCCTCCTTTCCAGCTCCACAGCCATCATCACAGTCCAGCCCTCATCCTTCCCGGCTTGGAACAAAGTCTCTTAAATAGTCTCCTGGGCTCTGTGATACCCCTCCTGCGATACATCCTCTTCACGGACGCCAGTGAGCCTTCTAAAATTGGGATGTGAATCTGAGACCACTTCTGTAAATCTAAGATACTAAGGGGCACATGTTTCCAAATGCTTCAAGTAACAGAACTTATTATTCATCAGACAACACTCTCAAATTACATGGGGTAATATTTATACAATCTCTTAATTGAGAAATAGAAGATAATGATTATCTACCATTATCAATGAATAACAATGTTTTTATAATAAGTGTATTTTAATCACATCAGGAAATACATGTGCTTAATTTAGTCCCTATTTTGTGAAACACATTACATATTCAGTCTACACACGATGCTTCATGGACACAGGGATTCATGGAAATCTTGCAACACTCTGAGAAACCCAGACTGGAATCATCACTGGGAGGATCGAGACCCACCATGGACGTTACACAAGGACTTCCACAACTCAGTCCCTGAGTGTCAATCCAAGAAACCCAACCAGTATAATTTCAGAATGGGAGGGAT